GTGAAATGTATATGTTTCATAGTTTTGTTGCTTGTTCAACAGTTAGAGTAGAAGCAGATGCTGTGGAGATATTTCATTGTAAAGTGATTGCTTAAAGCAGCTTGTGATCATGTTTCTCAGCTACTTGATCTTGTTCTTCAAATATGGATTTATTTAGTCACTAATGTTTACTGTGTTCAAAGGCTACTGTTAGTCATGTTTGGCAGCCTTTCTTATTTTACTGGTGAAAACCCATCTTGACTGTTTAATTGCCTTACTTTCAACAAGAAATTATCTGTTGTCTAAATGACAAGTGTGACACAGGGCCATGCACACAAGGCGGTTATTGCCCTGGCTGCTCTTGGGAGCCAGACTTTAAGAACCCAGTCCTGTGAAACCCCTATCCACTGAGCATCTGTGGGAAGCCAGGGCAGTCAGTGTCTCATGGCACTGGTGTGGGGAGGAAGGAATGAGTGTTATGGAAGTTTTCTCGCAGGTTACCTGCAGTCCACATGCTCTTCTGTTCCAACTTGCATAAACCTTACTGTTATAATCCTGATTATTTCTTGAAATCCTGCCAATCATTCTGGCTTCTGAGGTGACTGCAATGCTGGCATGTATCCAGAAACAGAAACCAAGGCTTAAATTTCTGTTTAATGCTTTCTGAGAAAGAAAAAAAAAAGATAAAAAAAAAAAAAGCAATTGACTGCTCGAGTCAACTGAACTGACTGTGCAAAGTATCTTGGCAAACAAACAAAGGAGAGAAATAGCTTAATGTAGCTTTTTCAAGCAATCTGGGCATTTTTTTGGCTTAACTGGTTAGGTTGTTTGCAGTTGCATGTAATTACTCGGGTTGTAGGAACTCATTTTGTCAGACACAGATGACTTTCTTACTTCCTACAAAGAGAATGCAAAATGAGAAAAAGAAGAATTTAATAGACCTTTGTCACTGAGCTATCCGACACTCTATGATTTGGTATGCTCTGCTTTAGAGATGGACAACGGGCACTAGTACTAGGAACCGAATAAAAGACAGAATGGTTTGTTCTGTACAGACAATTAATTTACATTCCAGAGACTGATAGCTGTTTACTTTTTGAGATGTAGGAGAGCTGGCTGTTTCTTAGAACAGTTCTGGGGAGATAGAAGTCTTAAACTAAAACCTAAAGGGTTTTTTTTTTTTCAGTGAGACTGCTGTTCTGGGAAGACAGGCTTCCTTGACAGCTCTTCTTCTGTTACTTTTTCATTTGTTTCCTCATCTCTGGCTGTTTTGGTTCAGGTTTTTTCCTGTGAGGTGTTGAATAGCATGTTACCTCTTCTCTTACATCTATTTAGTCAACTAAGATTCCTTTTCCCAAAGTTGCATAATTTGGGGTGGTGGTGGCATTTTTTCCTTGGTCTTTTTGTTGTTTTATTTTTTTTTACTCTGGCAACTGTAGTTTGACAGAATCGTTTTGAATGGTTGTCAGTTCAAGCACTTTTATGGACTATGATAATCTTGTGGGCTAGCTATGAATTTGGCACTTTGGCAGACTCCCAGCTTACCTTTTAACCTCCCATCTGTACTTTAATGGGAGTCATGCTGCTGTTGTTTTAGCCTCTTCCAAATTTCTTTTGAAACTTTGGTGCACTTTGTATTTGTGATAATAAAAATCTACTGGTATTAAATTCCATTATTGTGTGAGTAATTAAGCTGATGTCCTCAGTGCCTCCAATAGGGATTTGAAGAGGCTTATAGACTTCACTCCTAAGTTTTGGCTTGATGAAGGGGTCCCAGATGTTTTTCTTCTGTCAAGCAGGATTATAGTTTCGTAAATGGTAAGAAAGTTATATTGACTTGTGCTTTTACAGGTAGGCTTAAAATTTCACTGTTGGTCTTTACAAGTAGTCAGAATTTAATATTTAGACTCTTCCTGTTTTTCTCTTTGCTCAGTTTGTTCATTCTCTTTTTCCACCATCAAGTTAATCTTTTATTGCTAGTTTCTGTGTCTATACAAATCTGTAAGGAAATAAAGACAATGGTGAGTATCCTGTCCTTCATTACATGGTGCTTGCCGTTAGTGTTTTATTACTGTTGATTTCTCTCAGCTTAGGAGTTTCTTGAGTTACCCACTGTATCTCCGTTCAATTCCATAGCTAGCATATGGGTGGTGTTAAATGAAACTTAAACAATTTTAGGTCCTAACAGCTCCAGTGCATCACCTGCTTGCACTGGGAAGTCCTGCTTCTGGGATCAGAGTTAAGATAACATGTAAGAGTCTTCTGATGATCACTTATCACTGCGAATTAAGGTGGATCCGGTTTTCTGAGCAGCCTCTTGAATTTCATCAGTTCTTATCATAATTATTTGTATTTTGACCTTCTTCCTAACAGCCTGTTATGATGGTGGCTGGAAGTGGTTCCCAGATTACATCAAATATATTTATACTTTGATTTCTTTATCTGAACATCTTGACTTTTTGAAATACAGCTTTTATTCTTCCTTAGCTTAGGAACATCCAAGATAACACTGCATTTGGAAGGTTAAAAGCTACAGCTACAAGCTTTTTTCCTCCTCCCATCTGCAAAAGCCTTATCCTATTCTTGTACTTGATCACGTTCTACTTGATGATGTTACAGTCTTGTCTTAATGCAGGTCTTTTGATTGTAGCACTCACTGAATGAGCAGTTTGGGGAGGGCACGTGATTTTTGGAACGGGGAGCTTTATTTTGTTTATTTGACTTCTTTGCAGGTCACAGAGCTGTTGATATCTGTTTGCCCTTGCATGATATTGGACAATTCTTGCAAATCACTTTCCAGGGATAGGAAGAGGTGGTTATTTGAGGGGTTAAATGGATAGTTGTAGGGGATTATGTTGTAACCAGCTGGATCTTGGGTTGTTTAGGAACTCATAAAAAGGATGGCCTTGAGGAATGATGAAATATGTGGTATGCTCTAAGGGGCCTTACGTGGGTGACCAGCTGAGGACCTACAAGAGCAGCATAACTGATCTGGAGATAGCAAAGTCTGGTGTAGGGCGTATTGGTTGCAATGAACTTTTCTACAGCCAGTATATACTTCCCTACATAAACCATATCTGATAAAGATAGTTTATGTGGGAGACAGTGGATTTATTGTTAGTGAGGTAAATCTGACTTTGTTTTGCCATGTTAGACTTCTTGCACATGCACAAACCACTTTGTAACATGTACACAGCACCATCCGATCTCTACATGCGCAGTACGTCATCCAGTGCTTCCAAGAAGTGTCCGATTTACTGCACACATGTATAATGATTATGCAGACCTTGAGTAGTAAGTCCCCTTTGTCCCAGCAATATCCGATTTTTATGCTGTCCTGGGTACATGCTTGAGAAATACGTTAGATACGTGGGCCAGCGTGTTTGAAAATTTTGAACAAGTGTCAAAAAAAAGAATGAAATCCACCTACTGAAATTACAGTGATAGGGAGAAAAGAACATTTCTGGGGAAATCCCAGCGTACTGTAGCCTTGGACGTGTCCATAAAAACTCTTAACATAATGCAGCCTTGGAAAGGTTGTTTAATCATTTAATGTGTGTGAATGCTTCCGTCATGTTACAGTGCGTGCCGGTGGTTCCAAGGTCTAGGGGCTGATAGGCAGACATTTCTCTGAAAAAAATCCTCAGAGTAAGGTGAAGACTTTTCATCCCTCACTCAGGTGCAATTTGTTGGCATAAAGGATTTTTGCAACAAAATCTGTATCTTTTCATAGGCTTTTGGGGTGAAATTTATTTACGGAGGCTGACATGGGATTTTATTCCTCTGGCTGGTTTAGAACTTGCCTACACACAGTTTTTTCTCATCAATTCCAGCTATGGAAATTTCTCTTAATTCTTCTCGGAAAAAGCTGTGATCAGAAAGTGTCCACACAAAGTCACCTAGGGACACATGTTCTACTTTTGTTTCTCACCTCTGTGTGCATCCATACCTACAATGCCTTCATTTATTACTGTATATTTTTAATACACAGCAGAGGTACCTAAGACAGAAGTATAAAAATAAAATGGTCCGTGCAATATAAGTGGGGGTTTTTGCCTTTGCTTTAGCTTTGTTTCATTATTTATACGTGATAAAATGTTTTAATTGTGGGGCTTTGTTCATGCAAGTAAGGGTTCTTTCATGCATTGACTTCCCAGATCCTTTTATAGTTTAGTCTAAGGCAAGTGGCAGGTAAGTTAAATGGTACGTAGCGTCCATTATGTTGGAACATGCGATAACCATCAATGGTATATTTAGAAAATGTGCAGAGGGCAAGACAGGAAAGGTGGATATTCCTTTCTCAACCTGTTTTTGACCTCATCCAATTCAATAACCGAAGAATTGTGTATTTTTGACACAAAGACATTCATGCAACAAGTGATCAGAGACAGCTGCTAAGATGTGTTGTTCAAGAATGAATGCAAAATGCTCCTGTGAGATTATTTTTAAGCAGGTTTAAACTGCAGAAAATAATGCTCCCAAAGATGAGAGGATTGTTTTTTATCCCTCTCATTGCAATCTGAACTTTGAATTGCTAGTATATGTTAAGAATCCAATTCAAAATAATCCAAGTTTGAAAGTACCCATTAATTCAACCCATATGATAGAGTATGGCTAATATGGTATTCCTTACTTTATGCTAATGCAGAAATGGAGGATGGCTTCATTAGACATTGTTGACCTATTTCACGTAGGCAGAATGATAGATTTGTAGCAAACAAGACTGAGATCTTTTCCAACCATTTCTGATTCTTTCTTGAATACAGCTATGCTTTCACGCAGCTAAAGAGAGAGCAAAGGCCTGGTCTTGCAAAATGCTTGTCATTGCCTGCTTCCTTACTGCCTTTAACCAGGTCTATTTTGGTGACTGCTACCAACTTTTCATGCACACATGTGAAGGACAGTTTCTCAGTGGTCTTTGTGAAACCATCTATTTGTCATATTCTGTAGTTTATGATGAAATTCAAGAGCACATGATCAAAATCTGAGGGTTGATTTAATTTTGGGTCTTTTTATTTCAGGGACCTGAAACTGGACAACATTCTTCTGGATGCAGAAGGCCACTGTAAACTGGCTGACTTTGGGATGTGCAAAGAAGGGATTCTGAATGGAGTGACGACCACAACCTTTTGTGGCACACCTGACTATATAGCTCCAGAGGTATTTTTGTGAACTGCACTAAGAATACAGATATTATCATTCATCAGACTGTTACATGTGTAATTTTAGACACTTTTTACACGCAGATGCAGACTAGACTATGCCGCAGGTTTTCCTTGGTAATCTTGCAGAAGTTGGTCACAAGCAGTATTGCATGTTGCTAGGAGTGCCAGGGTAATCTTGCAGAAGTTGGTTACTCTACTCCTCACAAGCAGTATTGCATGTTGCTAGGAGTGCCAAAGAATGTTTTTTCTGTTATTTGTTCCCTGAACTTAACCGTATTCTTCTCCATACACTCATTTCTAACTCAGCATCATTGTGAAGACACTTAACTAGCCTTTAAGGTGCTAGAAGCAAGTAAGTATTGCCAGCACTGGTCTTTATTAGTTACAAACATGTTTACATTTTTTCATGAGACTTAGAACAGGATGCTCATATTGAAGAGACTGGATGTTTGTGTCATTTTGCCTAGGGGCTTTGTGGGAATATAATTTTTTTCTGTTTTTACGTAAAAGGTACTATGTTTGTGGTACTTCTCATCATACGAATGAGTAGAAAGTACAGACTTGCATAGAAAAGTAGGAACTTTCATGTGGATGCTGCAGTTGGCAACATGCAAAGTCATTTCAAGGCATTCACTGGATAAAAGAAATGACTGAGACTCATGCTCATTTTACATATGCTAAATTTTAATATTATGACATACATTTCCAACTGCCTAAAAGAATCACTATTGTACAGTTAGCCTGCTAGGCAGACTTTGTCTGCTCGGTTTAGTTAGTTACCTGTGCATCTTTCCACTGAAGATTCAGTGTGCTGATTTAATGTAAAAGTTTCATTGGTTTGTCTTTCATCAACCATAAATTTGCGACAGGGAAAAAAATGTTAGTTTATTATTTGCTAGAGCAAATAAATTAGAAATCCATATTGTTAGTGTTCGTGGCTGTCAAGCTTTGATAGCACAACTGATAAGGTGTGAATGGTCTTGAAACGATCATAATATAAATGTGTGTTTTATTGAGTTTGAAAAAGAAAATAGATGCCAGGTTTCGTTTTGTATGAATTCTTTTCTGATTCAGTATACTAACTGAATCCTTTGGCAAATTCTCTGAAAATTATTACTGAAAACAAAGCAATAATAAGATCCCAGGAACTTTTACATGAAATCCTGATGTCACTGAAGTCAGTAACTCAGGCTTCTCTTTCGTCATCTTAATTGCAGAAGTTAATCTCCTGCTTCTATTCCTCTTGCATCATGGTAGTATGTTTCAATTTCCTTTTCCTTAGCAATATTTGAGTTCCAAAGAGTGCCCAGAACACTTGAAAAGTACACTTTTGAAGAGTATCATAGAATCATAGAATGTTTTGGGTTGGAAGGGACCCCTAGAGGTCATCCAGTCCAACCCCCCTGCAGTGAGCAGGGACACCGCTAACTAGATCAGGTTGCTCAGAGCCCTGTCCAACCTGGCCTTGAATGTTTCCAGGGATGAGGCCTCCACCACCTCTCTGGGCAACCCGTTCCAGTGTTTCACTACCCTCATTGTAAAGAATTTCTTCCTTATATCTAGTCTAAATCTACCCTGTTTTAGTTTAAAACCTTTACCCCTTGTCCTGTCACAGTTGTCCCTACTAAAAAGATTTTCCCTATAGGCTCCCTGTAAGTACTGAAAGGCCGCAATCAGGTCTCCCTGAGTTTCATTTTGTGCAGTTATTGTCTGTAAAATGTAACAGCCAGTCAACTAAGAATCCAGTTGGAATCCAGACCTCTGCATTCAAATGTCAAACCCATGTCCGTTTTTATGTTAAGACTGAATTTGGTTTTATATTGGCCATGATTCCCAAATACAGCACTAAGCTCACGTGGTTCACCACGAGGCTTCTGACTGTACCCTAGTGTTGTTAAAGGAGATGGTGGAGTTGTTGCCATTCCAACTCATTTTAAGGCAGTCAGCTTCACCTTAACCAGTCACCCACTCTACTTTCCCCTGTCCCCTATCACACTGAAACATTGCAACCAAACTACAAGCTGCTTTTCAGCAGAGAGGAGCCAAGAATTAAACTCGTTCCTTGTACAACACTAGTTCTGTAACAGCAAGTACAATACAAGAAAACTCCATCATGCTAACCTGCTACTCCCCACTAAAGGTATTTGCTACAAGGTTGAACTTGTGGCAGTTTTTCTGAAAGCAGAGGCAATGAAAGTGAGTCCTACAGCCATGTATTGTACAGAGTATTAATGCTGTAAAAAGAACTTGAACAAAAATGCTTTTGGCTTCCTTCAGCCCTACCTAAAGGACTAGAATAAATCTCTCAGATGATTCCAGCATTACAAGCTGGTTCAGTTTGTTTTGTTCAAGATAGAGACAAGGAAATGTTTCACATTTTCCACCAATCTGTTTTGTATATGTGATCTTTTTTCCTCTATAGCGTGACCTGCTTTAAACAGTTTGGAAGGATATACAGCTCTCTTGCTCACAAGCATACTCTTTTACTCAGGGGACTGATAAACTCAGTCAGTACTTCTGAGAACAACTACGCATTGACACTTAGCTGCATTAGTGCAAATTGCATGGGCAAGAAATCATGCCTGCTGTTACCGAAATCAGTGTGGGATTTAGTCCTCCTCAGGCGCTGGGGGAAACAAGGGGTGTATCACGTTGAAACAGCAAATGTACAGCCGAGAGTGTTGTCTAACTTCTCTATTCAATCCAATCTCTTTTTCTATACTAGATCCTCCAGGAGTTAGAATACGGCCCATCAGTAGACTGGTGGGCTCTGGGTGTTCTCATGTACGAAATGATGGCTGGGCAACCCCCCTTTGAAGCTGATAATGAAGATGATCTCTTTGAATCCATCCTTCATGATGATGTCTTGTATCCAGTCTGGCTCAGTAAAGAAGCCGTCAGCATTTTAAAAGCAGTGAGTCTTCCATTACTTGCTTTCTTCCTCCTCTTCATGGGGGTTTTTGGGATTGGTTTGGGGGTTTGTTTTTTTCCTTGACTAAAATTGAATTTGCTGAAAGTTGTTGAGAGCAGTCACTGCTGGGAGTTCAAGCACAGTTCAGAGTGCCACTGTTAGGATAATGGGGCCTGGGATAAATTACACCGCTTGTGGGAAAGGAACAGAATGTTTGTATTCCACGCAGTTGTACACTGTATAAATCTGTGTACCACAGATTCATGTTTCAGGGAAAACCCAACCAACTAGAACTGTGCTATCACTTTGACACTTTATATGCCGCATGTTCACTAGGGTGGGGGAAGCACTATGTAATTAAAGAAACAATGTTTTTATTTAACCCACTTAAAAAATTTCCTGTCCCTCAGCCTTTCTTCCCTATCATCAAGATGGGTTGAAAGCCCTTTATTTACAGCTGCATGTTCTATTTTATAGTTCACATAACACTTTGATAAGCAGTCTTTCTCTAGTGTAATTGTTTCTGCCCTGGTTGGTGTTTTTCAATATGAGTAGTGACTTGACAGAAATGTGTCACCAAATGCCACAATTTTTTTAATCAGTCAGAATGTGCCACTGGGCAACTTCAGTTTTTAGACTATGTTTCTAAAGTCAGGTTTACTTCATTAATGTGACACAGACATAAAATACTTTCTTCTGTGTTAGTATCATCATCATCCTCCTAAAATAAAAAGCAAAACAAAACAGGAGGAGTATGCCAATCCCCATAGTTTGAAAACCTAAGGAGGATTTCTATCTTAAAAAATTAACTGGTTTTTTTATTCCAGTTTTCTGCCTTCTTTGAAAGTGGAAAATTTCTACCTTTCCACTTCTGTTTTTCTTTCAGCATCTGGAGTAAGGGAGACTTTCAATTAAGAGGGCAGCTGGTAGTTTAAAGTCCTGCAGAGATCTTCATATGGGGTTACATTTTGAAATGTATATATAAACTTGAACAAATTCTGATTTTAACACCAGTGGACAGGTAACACATTCTGCAGAAATGCTGATCTTGATCTTGTAATAAAAATATCTTCAGGCTCATTCTAGCTGAGAGAGAGAGATGCTGTAGCAGATGGTTCAAAACATGAAATTGAAGTTAACCTCTCTGAATTGTTTGCTGGAGTATCTCTTTTGCTCCATTCGCTGTATTGAGAACTTGGAGGATTTATTAAAGCTGACTTTTATACATATTCTCCCTTCTCCCCCCATATACTTCTCTGATGACTTTTTATTAGCTGACATGATACTTTCATGCATCTGTTTTTTTTCCTAGATCCTTCAATTATTTTCAGTTCAGCAATTAAAACGTATGGACATGAGCTGCAGAATTCAGGCGATACCCGGGGTTCAGGGATTATTTTGGCATGCTGTAGAGAAAGGGTGTTGTTAGTGTTAATATTGGCATCTGAATTTCACTGAAGACCGGATGATTTTCTGTAGTGTTTTTGTTTCACAGTCTGTAAGATCTGTTCCTCTACCATCCGCAAGCTCCTTCAGTGAATCTACGTTAACTGACCTTTCTATTATTCTGAATCATGGAAACATTTGTTGGAGGGGAGAAGTTAACTGATAACTCTTGGTTAAGTGTGTAGTACGAGAGCCATTGTAACTATCAGGAGAAGGTGGGGTTTTTTGCAGAGGAAAAGGAGAAACAGATTTGACGGTCAGAACCTTACCGTTACCTCATTGGTGCAAGTAGTGAGATGTCTGACTGTTCATGTTATACACAAATGCAGACACAGAATTGGGCTGCAGGTGTAAACTATGCATTTTTGGCAGTGTAAGTGCAAGGGTGTTAAACCTTCTTATTTCTTTTAAACCTGACTTTGCTATAAATTTTCATTAGGCTGTTTTCCTGGGTCAACATTTTGATAAGTAGGCATGGCGGTTTGTAGTTTGCTGTAGTTGTAGCATTTTTATTCTTTTTTACATCTTTCTGTCAAAAGTTAATCCTTAATGCCATTATAAACCTTAAATAGAGAGTTGCATCCATGAAATAGATTTGTACTATAATCATAGATTATTCCTGATTGGCATCAGTCAATAGAATTTAATGGAGCTGTGCCAGTTTGCACTAT